AGGCCTACTGTAGCCACATGGCATCCATGATGCCTGTTGTGTTGGAGTGAATTGTGCGTAATTATATAGAGATAATTACATTATGACACTGTTATTCATAGGTAAAGTTTCTGCTTGCTATAAATGAATTATATAATTTTTTGTATGTAATTATGGCCTCTGTTGATTTCTTCTTTTTTTTTTTTTGCTGTTTTTTCTTGCGACACTCTTTCATCATGTTCGACGCGAGAAAAAAAAACCTCCCTCCCTACCATGAAAATTGTTTTATTTTACATGGCCTTATCTAATTATTTTATTTGCTATTTTGTTTAGTAGAATAGAGTATTTTTAATCAATAATTAATGAACATTGCACCTTCTACTGAATTTAGACTTAAACTATCTTAAATTCCAACGTTGACTGAAGTTACTCGCATTGAAAGTGTAACCTTTGCATTTTATGAAATAACTTTTTAATGTAAATTTGAATTGCCTCTCAGATGCAAATGCTAGTGGTATCTAGAGAGCGAACTAAGTCATCATAGTAATAACGTACACCTCCGTAAATATAATATACCTGAATCATGAACCCAACAGCCATCAAAAATCCACTTGCATATTTCATCTTGTTGCAATCTATTTTTGATATGATATAAATATATCATGGATGATGAGGATAATTGTAATTGCCAGTGATAATATAGCAATCCTCTACGTTAGTAGAATCATAACGGGTGCTGTTTTTCACATACTGCGTTGGAGATCCTTGAGAAATCCTACGGTCGAAGGCATGTACGTCATTCCAGGGAGCATTTGACATCAACCAGACAAATAATAATCAACTACTAACGTCTACGTCTGTTAGGTATTCTATATTTATATTGTTAATAACATCTACACTCCAAAAAATATTTTTAACTGTTCTGTTCCGAATGAGATATCTTCGTATTGCAAATGTGATACACAAATATTTAAATGATGCCCCTCGGGTGAAACTGTTTCGTGTGCCACTATCTGATTCACATATTTTAAAGAGAGAGAGGGAAAAAAAGCATCTTACATTTATGTCCATGATGGGATAATAAGTGAAGTTTAAAGAGAAATTTGAGACATTTAAAAACTTTCTCTTACTGTTTTCAGGCCTTCTCAAATATTGATAGCTTTTTGAATGTTTATACTTCCCATTTTTTCTTTATAAAGCTGCCAGAAAATAATGTGATAAACTGTATCTTTAAGATACGTTTGGACGTTTTGTAAAATCCTTGAGGCAAAACGATAGCCAGATGAGCTCATTACTGTATTAATTAAAAGCTGCGTATTTTTTAGGATAGATCGAGATGTGTATAAGAGACAGATATTAATTAATTGTATTGAATTCCAATTATTTTCCATGTGGTAAGTGAATTCTTAATTTTTTTTTTATTTCACAAAAATATAACTCATTAGCTTCAAAATGATGTATCACACAAACACATTTGATGTATTTTAATTTTTTACCATTTGGTTTACTAATTTACGGAATTGCCCCTCTATGGTTTGTTTGAGCTGTGTTGTATCAGCAGTAAGAACTTTGATGCTCTATCCCCTCCCACCTTGGGACACTTTAAATTTATAAGACAGACATACTATATTGTATAATAGTAATTTAGTCTTTAAGAAAGAATTTACATGATAATATAGTGCAATAGAATTTTTTTAATGTATTATATTAGAATTCATGGTACAAAATCTACAATATGATATCTGTGATTATCATGAAACCTTCAACATTCATACAATCATTATACACAATAATTATAAGGCAAAAAAAAAAATTATTTTAATTTTACAACTCAAAACATTGAATTATATTGGCAAAAATTCTACCATTCTTGCAATGAAAGTGTATCCATTCTCTACCTAAGAAATAAACTTAGGACACGTTGAGATTCAATCAATCAACATTTATTGGAAGAGGAAAGGTACAGTAGTTTGATTCCCACTGTGGTAACTTGCTCTTCCACATTGTCTCACTCTTCCTAGTGTGTGGATGGTATAGTAGGCCTAAGTACAATATGTATGACTACCAGTGGCTAATTGCAGCTGTATCATTATTGAATTTTCTCTCAATTAGCTGAGCATGTGCTCTATATGCATGTCAATGACTGGGTAATGATATGTCTAGGGACCTTGCCAATATACGCCGTATAAGACTGACTTTATATATTAATATTATATTGTAAATTTTACCTTAAGCAAAGGTCAGCAACCAAACCTACATCCAAGTTCATATTGTTCATGTTAACTTTTGATTAATATTTTATATTATAACTTCCTCATTATATTTAATATTTTTTTTTGCAATTGAGTTGTTGCTGAATAGACTAGCAATCTAATGAGTGCAAGTGACATTTTATTTTGTTGTCTGCAGAACTGCAAGGTAGTGTTGTAGGGTAGAGAACTAGTGAGGCATCTCTAGAGATTATCACCACCATCATCATCATCATTATCAGTATCATCATTATTTATATCATCATTGTCTTTATCATCATCATTGTCGTCCTTATCATCATCGTCATCAGAGACATCATTATCATCATTAGACATTTTTCATCGTCATCATTATTATCATCATCATCATCATTATGACATTCATGCTGAGTAAAACTGTCTCAATTGATTATAATATCTAGTTTAAATTGTAACAAGTCATTGATTGTTTCTCTGCAATACAGTATTGCCTTACTTTAAAATGCAACAACCTTCTATTTTTCATCATGACATGATTAATGCCTCGCATGAATGTTACAACATGGATGTTACAATGAATGTTACTGCATAATTGAATTAATGCATAACTGTTAATCTTTTCATTTCCCTGAAATTCGTTGAAATCATATCAATCAGGTCAGGCAGGGACTGATACTACTAGCTGTAGGTCTCTTGTTTGCTTTTATTTTCATTGCCCTGGATGTTTCCCTAGCAACAGCTAATAATTGTTGTAAAGGATACCCCTGGTAAAGTAATTAGAAGATGTTGCTCATGTCCAAGGTCTGCACAATGTCATTATTATATGGAATCATAATTTTGATTAGCTAGTTCTTGCTTAAAATTGATTTTGATAATGATTCTTATGGAATAAAGTTTATTTTTTATTAACAATTTATAAAATATCACATTTAGTAAGCAATCTCATATCTTGTAATTTGTCTATTTTCTTTCAATAATGATGCAGATATTTTAATATTATTTCCAAATTTGTTTGCAAATTAATAAATATATAATATATTTACTTGTCTTATATATTGATTAAATTATTAATTCAGAAACATTATATCTGTTAAAAAACAAATGCTCGCCCTTTACCTAGGCCCATGATACTCATAGGATTATAAGAAACAACATGGATGAATACATTAAGGTCCTCATACTCCATAGCATACTCCATAGTGAGAGTAATTGTAATTAGGTCTGTCATAATTAGATCTAGCTCAATGAGATCCCAGTAACAAGGTCTGTCATAAAAGATCTATCATAATGGTATTCCTCATAAAATTATCTATCATGTTGAGATTCCTCACAATGAGATCTATCATAATGTGATTTATCATAATGAGATCCATCATATTGTGATCCCTCATATTGTGATCCCTCACATTGTGATCCCCATAATGAGAACCATCATAATCAGATCCTCATAATTAGACCCATAATAATCAGAGCCCCGTAATGTCATACCTCATAAAGAGATATTATAATGAGGTCGATCATAATGAAATCCACCATATTATGAGATCCCTCATACTGGCATCCCTCATGAGTCATAATGGGATCCCTCATAATTTGACTTATAGTTACATTGTTACTACTTAATTGTTACTTAGTTACATTGTTATGCATCATATATCATGAGTAATAATGGACATAATGTTGAATAAGAGTACATTGCTATGCATCATATATCATGAGTAATAATGAACATAATGTTGAATAAGAAAAAAACTTATTTGAACTACACCTTTCATTAACTAACATATTCATACATTATTAAGTATTCAAAATATATTTTAAAATGTTCAATAGATTATTGTATTAAGTATTATTTCCAATTCTTGCTATCAAAAGCTAGCAACATAGACTCCGTATTACTACTAAATCCAGACTAAGCTCTGTTCCATGTCTTGAAACATCCCGGGGACCCAAAAGCATTCCATTCATACTAAATCAAGCTTATTAATTGTAGCACCAATAAAATTGTGTTGCCTGTTGATGTACAGAAGAAGCAACCTCATTATCTATAATGTTTTCCTCATAAAGCGATTATTAATTACAAGTAGCCATGCTCAAGCATGAGTGCGGTTGGGTCTCTTGTCAGTTGTGTCCTACGTCATAGATAATCATTAGACGGTCCCACATTACTCGTCGTCTCAAACTTGGTAATACTAATACTATTATTTTATATAAAGTAAATATGAAAGTGCAATATTTTCATTTGCCAGGTCAGTCTGACAAGTCCCAATATGATATTCCACAGCGTTCTAAAGCTTAATTCTTAACACAGTATGTTGCAATATGACAATGCGATATACCTTACAGGGTTACAGCTATAGTGAACTTAGGGTGGGTGGTATACACTTTGAGGGTGTGTTGGTGATACTGTAACATTGTTAAACTCTAAATAATAAAAGCGGATTTTAAGGATTGGCAGGGAGGTTAATAAAGGTGGCTGGAGGGCCATGAAATTAGCTTTGGGTGGCAAACTTCAAGGCTGGGTGGCCGCGCCCACCTCGGCCCACCATTACCTGTGATGGAAATGGTCCTCCATGGTAGTGTATATATAATCCCATTCATAGTATGTGTTCTAATTTATTCTAATTGTCATTATAAGTCAGTTGTGACATCTATCCCCAATCAATCACTAATTTGATATAGTGCCTCTGATTTTCTTCATCCTCTATTTCCTATAGGGTCCTCAGATCTTGACTATAATTGCATATTATACCAGTTTTTGATTTTATTTGTTCTTTTTTGTATTTTCTAAAGAAATTATGTCAACCATATGGAACTTTGAAAGGACTGTTAGATATCGAAGATTCAGAAATGAGGGAGTTGCTAAAAAATCATGATTGTTCGGACAATGATATACAAAGATTAAGCTATGCCATGAAGAATCTCAAAGAGGCGTATAGAGGTAAGAAAATGCTAGGAGATATTGTTTTTGCATCTCATTCACTTTTAAAAATTAATTTTTTCATATAGTTTTTTATTCTATCGCGAGTATTCTTAAAACAAACTTTAGTCGAACTGCGAACTAGAACTTAAACTTAAATTTGTATTCATAAACAACATAGTAAAAGTTTTAACTACGACTAAAGCAAGTCATAGTTTTAGTTCAGCTGAAGACGACTGGGAAGCAACCACTATCAAACTAACCAATGAAAAGAGCTTATTTTAATAGCAGACGAAATTTTTGAGATCCGGTAACGCAGATGAATATTAAGCTTCCGCCTGCCATTCAAAAACATATTTCCTCATGAATAATTAATTTTCTATAATAATACTGTAATTATATTAGTCGTAATGTAACATATAACAAAAGAGAATTTGAACAGTCACTGGAAATTTGCTTTCTTGGGAGAAGTATTATAGTTGAACCGAGCGAGGGCAGTGCCATCTTGTTATGGTGAAGCTATGTGACCACAACGCGAGGGGATTTCGTGCAAATCAGGAACTACTGTACAGTATCGCATGTGGCTAGCAAAACATGTTAATTTCTCCTTTTGGAAGCTAAACTTGATGTCTCTTTTGTTTAACACACCGAAGATATATCAGACCTGTGTATACAATCTTTTTTATTCGTTTCACTTTATCGTGAGTTACAAAAAGCACCTTTTTAGTGGGGTAAATATTTCAAGTCGGCGATTTAGCCTGACCCTAGCTGATTAAAAAAATCGGCCTGCGGAGGTATAATTTTAGTCGAGTTTCTCATGATTTAGTCGTAGTGCTAGTCAAAGTTCATTTTAAGAATACAAAATGACATAATTTTGAAGTTTCAGCTCGGACTACGACTAAAGTTTGTTTTAAGAATACCGAGGTATGTGTCAATTATTATAAAAACTGTGCTTCATCTATTTTCTTTTTTTGATTGGTACTGTAGAAGTACAAGCAGTCAGTCATCAATCATCCACTGAACTTTGAACTGTTCAACTCATTCATTCTCTTACTTATTTACTTATTTACTTATTTATTATTTTATTTATTTGTTTATCCATTTTTGCTGTTTAATTCACACAGTCCTTTTTGTATTTGTTCGTTCATTTACTCATTCACTTACTTATTCATTCATTCACATACTCAATTAATTATACATGCATTTTTTTCAACTTTGAGATATATTGCTTTACTCATATATGCTTTCACTGATCAGTCATCTTTTTTTGCAGTTTTTTGTGTCTCTGTCTCATTAAGTTATGCGAAAAAGTATGTGATTTGCCTTTAGATACAGTGTATGGGGGATGATGTTATAGGTAAAATATATTTATAGGTATTTGTCCTGTGAAACATGATAGGATAGTGTGGACACAGATTTTAAAATATATAATGACCCTATTATTATTATTATTTATAATAATGACCCTATTATTATTATTATTATTATTATAATGGCCCTCCTATTATTATTATTATTGTTATAATAATAATAATGACCCTATTATTATTATTTACTGGATACTGCTTCTGTAGTAGTAGAAACTTTCTACAGCTGCAATCAGTGCTTCTTCATTTGAAGCCACTTTATCTTGTCACTTGCGAGCATCCTTACATCCCTTGTTTCTTGCCCGTTCTAAGAGTTCCCATCTGTGCCACCATGAGGTTTGCTTGCAACGTGCAGACTAAGTTTGTAAGGTGACGCCCTCTGCGAGCTTCGTACTTGTTGAATCCAACTACAGAGTATTCTAGAGTTCTTTGTGCAGGTGTGTTCTTTGGCATTCGTAGCATGGACCATCTCAGTTGGGCAACTTTGATAGAGGAGTAGCGTTGGACGTGTTGTAAAAAGCATCATTTGAGATAAGGCTGTGTGGCCATCGGTGACCTGAAATAGCACAAAGGTGTTTGCGATGTCAGGCATCAAGTTTATCCATGGCTGCCTTTGGAGCTGCCCAAATATCCTTTTAACGTTTAAAAAAAAAAAAAAATGGAAGTGATGCTTAAATTTATATTTAAACTGTTAATAATTATTCAAAAAAATGTTTTGTTTTCTCTTTAGCACATTTACAAGGTGGTGAAAATACAAAGAATCTTAAAATGACAAACCTGGACTCGGGAAGCCCTGCAGGTAGTGAAACGGAAATAAATGAAGACAAAAGTGAAAAACGCCCGTCTGTGTCATCGTCTAATTCTGATATAATCCAAGAAAATGTGCGTGTGCCTATTACACCACCTCCTATTGACTATCACCCAAAGTTGTTGGACTCTGTTGCCCCACCCCCTACGCCAACTTCTAAAAGGACAAAATCAAAAGGCACACCCCCACCAAGTAAAAAAGTTTTTAATGTGCATGGAGTTATCTTAGATGGATCTTCCAGTTTACCAAGGTAAGATACAGAAGTTATACTTTCTGGCATCACTTTATGTAAAAATATATTTTTGAGATTCTGTTTATGTTAGAAATTAGTGGAAATATAGTAGTAGTAATAATAATGAAAAAAGACTAAAGGGAGGAAATAGGATTACAATGCTATGCAATAATAATAAATACCATGTATTGTCAGTGGTAAATGTAGGATTTTTTTTTGCCAGATGGTGGGGATTGCAAATGACAGTCCATGACCTTTGGTCCAAGGAACTTTTGGTCAAGAAGAATTGATTGGGAGTATTAGCCGTATTAATATTTTATTTTATATGTGATTTTCCATGGACTTTTGTAAGAAATGTGTATGAGCTGTACTTAAAAGCCTGACTTACCATCATATAAAAAATGTTTACAAACAATTCTTGAGATTTTCAGTAGGTCAGGCATGGGCAAATATGTGGGCCTTTTTTAGGGAAGTTGAAAGTATAAATTCTAGCAGTTGGTTGATTTAGAGCTCAGGATGGTACAATTTTCATTAGATATGGACTCGTAGTTCTTTACAGCAAGACAGCATTCAGTTACTGTATATGAAGCTGCAAGGAAAATATAAACACTCCACTGCCTCGGTACTGACCTCCATTTTAATTATCAGGAAACATGAATATTTAATCAGGAAACATGAATATTTAATCAGGAAACATGAATATTTGATCAGGAAATATGAATACTTAATCAGGAAATATGGAAAAAAAATTTAACTTAAATTTTTTTTTTTCACTACTGTCTCTCCTTGCTTTTTTTTTAAACTTACACCTTGTCTTTGTATTCTTTGCATAAGCAATTCATTTTGCAAGAGAAATTGAAATACAGAGTTTAGAATTCCAATTAAGTGATGCGCATCCGGTGTGGTGCCCAAGATATGTTATCAGGTATCATCAACTTGAGAACAAGAATAGATCGTACATTGCAGAAAAATGGAACTTCGTCTGACAATACATTTGTGGATGTTTAAACTAATTGAAGACAAGAATTTCAAGTTTTTATAGCCAGCTGTAGAGCACCACTAAAGTACAGTAATTAATAAATCAGAGCCAATCTCTGCTGGTGGAAATTTATCATTGGTATAGCTTAACAGGTTTTAGTGGTCAGCGTCTTTCCTTGCCTCATGACTGCTAAGTTGAGAGGTGTGGGCTGTCTTTTCTTGCCTCATGACTGCACAGTTGAGGTGTTGGCTGGGTTGTATTATTATAGGTGGAGTTTGCATGTTGCAAGTTCCTTGAAACAGGGGTAGCTCTGACTGTATTGCGAATGCTGACATAATTTTTAAATAATTTTATGCAACTATTTTCTCATTGACCAAGATTAATTAGCATTTGATTGATGGATTGGGAATATCATCTCCTTCAGGTAATCAATAAAACTATTATGTAAACTATTATTATATAAAACATAAATATTTGATGTACAGCATTTTGGCGTCTGCATTGCTTCTCTCCACCCATGAGTGTAAGTGGGTAACTGGTAGTAGGGTTAAATGCCAAAATGAGCAGATCTACCTGCTGCTACCTTCCTCCAGGAAGCTGATTTTGTGTTCCTAAGCATTTAATCCAACGACCGGTGTAACAATAGTGTGAAGTGCATAGAGGGCTTATAATGCGCTATATAAATCTACCATTATTATTATTATTTTATTACTGTTATTATATTTTAATCAAATCTACTTAAATAAAATATTATTATACGTATTGCAATAAGGATTGCCTTGTGCAAGATGTAAAAAAAATCATAATGATATTGACAGTAAAATAGTTGATTCTCATTATGTAACATGTATTTCACAGTAGGACACAAAGGGTACGTTCGGAAATAGTTTCACCCGGAAGTAGTTGTGAAGCAATTGTTAGTAGACTGAAATCCGAGGACGAGTCGGATCCAGGGAGCGGACAGACGTCACCCAGAAAGAGTTCACCTGGCCGACAGTCAGATGCGAGTAAGTCTAGCAAGTCTTTACTATTTTAACGTGTGCTTTACTGAATTTAATTGCTCATATACGAGGCTTGACTATCCCAAAACTAGCATCAGTGAAAATTAACTTTTTAATATATTCATATTCTCCACATTATCAGCTTAAAATGATGGGTCATTTACTGTAATCGACTTAATATTGCCAAAGTTTTGAGTAAAAGTATTACTGCTTCTCTGTACTAAAGTACACAATACTGCCGCATTCTTATGCTAATTACTCAGTTTAAAAATTAGCGACAGTAATTTGAATGGCAAGCCTCATATTCATTTAGTGTTTATTGTAATTGTCTTATTTTTTATTGGTTAACTTTACTGCTAAATCTAGTACAGAGAGAGCATAGTATGCTTGCAAGATGGATGGATAATCTACAGCTTACTTAACCTGCTATAATTTTTATGAGCATGTCATGAATTTTATTTTCTTTACAGATTCTCTAACAGTCCCACGGAGGAACCGTATATGTAACATGACACATTCAATAAAGCATAGGTAAAATATACTTTGGTTTTAAATTTTTGTTTTAAATTTATTGATTTTCCAGTAAACGATTAAGTATTATAGTGACTTTACTGAAAATGAGTAAAAAGTTAATTTGATATTATGAAAGTATCTCTTCATATTCTAGGATATAGATTAGTATTATTGTAGTCAGTATTTTTACCTAATGATTGTATTTCTTCAAATCCTGTAAATTTAAGTACATACTCTGGACAAAGAACACTATCCAATTCACGCTTCAGAATTGACTTTGGGGGCGCTATTCCTTATCAACCTGTTGCTAAGCATGCTGGTTTATCAATGGCCTGACACTGCATCATGTCACAGATTGGAAAGTTTAGTGCATTACCTTTTTTTTAACACATCTAATTAAAAGTATTTAATAGTTATATGCTGGTAAGGATGATTAATCAATTATCAATTCATTCAAAAAAGTTATAAAGGAACACATACAGTATATAAACCTAGGATGATGTTTAATAAAACAATCAAACCAGGTAAGCAGAAAGAAAAACATGACAAACATTCTTAAAAAACTATAATATAATATTTACAATATATTTAAAAAGTGCATATAATATAATGAAATTATTATAATAACTTTTACATAATTTTGAGGGAAACTTTATAAAATTGGTTTAATTAAAAACACTTAACACAGCTTTTTAGCATGCTTCACTATTATTTATCTTTCTAACTTTTTTATGTTTAATTTTGTTTAGTTTGCTTCGCTTGTCTTCACAGTTTTTCCCTATTTTACTTTTTTTTTGTTTTCATTATGCATTGTGTTTAAAGTAGCAAGTTTCTTTCCACAGAAAATTTCACACTTTTCAGCCCTATACCTTAAGACGATCTCGGTGGTATACGATGAAAAAAAATGTGTTACCCACTAGGTGAGAAGATGCGTGTATCCTGTACCTAACCATATGTGTGCACTTCTGGGACCCTTACATTACCTACCTCTCTTCCATTCAGATATAAAGGAATAAATATTCTCGCATCACAGGCACTGCTTTCTTCATCCTTCATTAACATTTATTACGTAATTCCAAATGTGAAATCCAGAATTGATTGAAGTTAGTTTGTTAATTTCTAGAGTAGGATTATAAATCTAGGAAATGATGATAATCAATATAAACCTAATCATTGAGATTATTCTTATTCTTTATTGCCAATCAACACAGCTGGATGGAAAGGCCTGGTCTCTAAGTTAACTTAATTACTATAACATTATGCCCGAGAACCACTCCCATCCAGTGATTATAAACAAATATATTAATTTTTTTTTTAAACAGTATCTAAAATCTAATTGATTGGTAGAAACACTAATGATGAACTATTAATTGCTTAGATATAAATCGCCTTATGAATAGAGAGAAAAATAAGTGATATGAAAATATATTTTCAAAGGATTTATTTAATTTATCTGTGTTCTTATTATCATTAGCTTTTTAATTAATAAATAAATAATAAGTAAATAAATAATAAATTGTCTAGAAAATTCTGAACATGAAGACAGAAAAGTGATGCAAGGTCATAATATTATGTGGAGATTAGAAAAAGACACACTTAAACCTGATAAGATAATCCCCATCCTGTAGGATATGAAATTAAAGAAAGAGATAAATCCTAAGGATTAACTGATTTAAAATTTCTTCGAATGTTGTAATCCCATGTGATCACAACCATAACGTAGTCCAATGTGAAATACATGTTACTGATCAGTGAATGTATAATGTAAATGTGGGTATCCACCATACCAAAGCCAATCATATCGTTTAAAAGCTCAGGATGCTTCTGTTAATAGGAGTAGAAGGATGAATATATGCTCAACGAAATGATGATGTAAAGATATTGAAGCCGGCACTTTAATCCACTAATTAATATTAAAAGATCAGTAATTGTCGTTAGGTTTGTTTCATTTACTAATATGCTATGCTGTACTTGCTTTAATCACTAACATAATCCATTCATAAAGTATAACACATTCTGTACTACATCCTTGGATATTACCTCGAATTGTGTCACTGAAGTGTTGATTAATTAAAGGTAATATCAAAGCTAATTTTTATGTCATTAACATTTCAGTAATGTGCTAAATCAGATACTTGATCATTCTATGCTAATACTAATAATAGCACCAATTTTTCTATATAGGTTTTAAGAACGTTGAAGTTAACTTTGCATTTGTGTGGCACTTGCGTTTATGATGTATAATTCGACCTTCAGTTTGTACAAAGATCCTGTTTGGGTTTCTAGGGTAGGAGCAGGTATTGGAAGGTCACCATGGTGATACAGCTCTCTTGGGGGCAGTATTTATGTATAATTCCTTGAACTCCATGTTATCTGTTGTATACTAAAGGATACTGTAACAGGATACTGGAGGCTGCTACAACTTGAATTAATCACATCGTAATAGCAATTGAGACTAACTTAAGTCTCAACTTGTCTCAAGTCTTATTGTGCTAGTTCAAGATTTTGCCTCAAAATCTCATGCTAGGCTATGATATGGCATAAATATCTTTAAATTTTACTTAAAATCTCATGCTAAAATTCATTCTCATATAGTGTAAAGATCCCCTAAATAATATTATAAGACCATCAATCTTATGTTAATTCATTATAATGTAGTTTAATGTATTTGAAAAAGCAAGTCGCTATTCTTTCTCACAGGTGAACATTGCTGGGTCAATTGTAGGATAATGCTAGGTTTGACCCTTGACCCCTTCACATAGCCTGACACATTTACATGTCTACACATCAGTCAATCGTTCTCACAATATTGCTCCGTTGGCCCTCTAAAAAATGTTTGGCTGTCTCATCAATGATGATTGGTTAATATTTGGCCATTATAAAGGTTTGGGTGCATTTCCATTTAGAACTGAAAATGTTATGTCAATCATACCAGCCTGAAGCTGTCAATTATGTCTTTATCAGGCTTTTAGGACACTGTGTAGTAAACTGATGAGAGATATGGCAAACTGAAGATAAGGCTTTGCCAACAAGCCTGGCATTAGATGTAAGATTAGATTAAATTCTAGGTGTTGCCAATAGATACAAAGTAAAGATCAAAGCAGAGGCCAAGGTCATGTAAGCGTTGATGGTTACAGATTGACTGAATACCTGGATGATGATTATAGGAATGTATTATCGTGAACTATCTGCATTTCTTTTATATATTAAAAAAATTTTTCTTTTCCAAGCCAGTGATGTAGAAGTCCCTTTTCTTCTTCTAAACAAAGATGGCTACATATACATACACACACACACACACACACAATGAAATGCAGACTATGCCAGGTATGGATATCATCATGGATATCATCGGCAGTGCCAAACATTTCCTGATGAGTGGCCCAATTTCCCCCTGACTTGCAATCCACACTCACCTCTGCCTTAGGGTCAGGGCTGAGCATAACAAATTTTAGGAATACGCACCTAGATACCTAGAAACAACAAACTCAAAATAAAATTCTTTTTTAAAGTAGTGTTTTCTGACAAAATAAATGGCTGATGAGGTCCAGTGTTCTCTGACGAAGTTCTGTGCCTACACTAACCCCCAGGGCCCCATCCCCTCCTGCCGCTAATGTGTATGCATCACTTATGAAGTGTGATTGTGGGATTTTATACAGTGGTTAAAACAACCTGCACGTTTTGACTTTGATAATTACACTGCATGACCCTTATAATTGTATATTGACCCCATTAATCATAATAAATGACCAACTTTTGCAATGCAGGGTAATTTCTGTAACTTCTACTACTGTAGATGAAAAATATAATAACCTTTACAGAATTCCTTAGCACCCTGATACGATCCTGTTAAATTAGCCGAATGCTATCAAATAAACGCACACCATCCGTAGGGACAGCTAAAATATTTTTCTTCTCAAATGCCAACACAAATTTTTATAAAAAGTGTGATGAGAGCTTGCATAATTTATGAATTAAAGATGATAGATTTACTGGTCCCTGGATCAATGTATGCTAATCTTGTTCTCAGGTATAATCTCGTACCTGTATATTTAATGTGTATGTGTGTTATATTTATTGACAGAAGATGTGTGTTGATAAGTTCATTTCGTCATGTTGTATACCTAAGTGTACTCGTCTGTAACATCATCTACACCTTCATTTATGTTTATAATTATTTTAATAAAAATATTAATAATAATTAGTTAATAAAAGCTGATAAAAATAATAATATAATAAATGATATAACACATTCAAAAAGCAACAAGCAAGAAAGCATCATTATCATAATTCTAAACATCATAATCATTTTCTTATTTCTCATTGTAATCCTCATCACTATCAATCATTATTATTTTTATCATCATATTCATCACCACAATTGTCATAAACCCTATCATTGTCATCACAATCATTATCATCTTCTTTCTCATCATCTTCTTCCTTCTCATCATCATCATTTTTCAAAATCTTCATCAACATCATAATCCTTATCATCATTTTCATCATAATCCTATTTGTTATCAGTGTGATCACAATTAACATCATAGTCATCATATTTCTTATTATAGATCATGGTAATTCTCATTTGTATAATCACATCATAATCCTCATCAGTGTCACCATCTATCACAATGCTCATCATCATATTTCTCATTGATTTTCAAAATCCCCCTTATCCTCATGCACTTGATAAAGTCATGACCTGTTACATTTTTTTTATTGTTTTGAATAAAGAATGATTTGATGCAATGAATACAAATAAATGAAGTAATAAATGTAATTCATGATAATAAGTAATAGGAATGTCCTTGCTTCATATTCAAATTCAAAAGCATTCAAGGACTGCACTCGCCATTTCAACTTTTCAAGGAAACAATTAAACTTTGGTTAAGGCTAGGCTCGGTTAGGACTAATTCGCTTAAGGCTAATAGTACTTAATTTGAACATTCACTTTTATAACAATGCACTCAACAATTTTGACAGTATGGTCATGACTAGAAAATATGAAGGTACATGAAAACTTATATAATAAATATGATAGTAAAGTGGTAAGTCAAATATTACCAATTCACTTCTGTCTGTGTCTGTTTTACTTTTCAATATTCATCACACTTTTTAGCTCCGATGAGTAGTTCTAGGAATACCTAGCTGATTGATTGATTTTTTTTTTTTTTTTTTTTTGTATGTGCGGCCGTTAGGGACAATATACTCTACTGCTTCAATTATACCGCCCTCATCGGACTGAGCTTACGAGATTACAGGACCTTGTTTTTTTTGTAAGAACTAGTACAGTTTTGCCCAGGCTCAGTGTTCTTATTATTTTTCTGATTTCAGGCTCAAAATGTTCTTATTTTGTTGTATTTGACACACTATACTTTATTATTTTACAGCATTACTGTACTGCATTATTTAAAAAAACATAAAACCTCATTTTAAATTTTAGCTCAGCCTCAATTTGTAATTATTTTGTTCTTTTTTTTATGCAATTTCAGTCTTGGTATTCTTATAAAATCATATATCATTTATTTCACCAGTGAAAACAATAAAAAAACGTATGGCTGACTGGCCGGATGGCCCAAAAGCAACGCAAAGTCATGGGGGTCTTCTGGCAGCACATACAGTACAATAATACGTAAACATTCGAGTATTAAAATAGATAACTATATATAAAACCATCTCTTTTAAAAATTTCATTTTAAAATGTAAAAGTTAAATGGGTTATTATTAAAAAAAAGTGTATTACAAACCCATTCATTAATGCAAAGTGGTTGTACAAACAAAGTGTGACTATAATGCTCAACATTTTTCATTTCTATGAATCAATAAATTATATGGGACCGTAATTAATTAATATTCACTACAGTACATACCAAATGTACCCAAGATTTTAAGCAAGCAAATTAGAAAATTTCATTTTTGTGTACACATTCCCCCTCTTCATAGATACAGACCAGATGTGGTTGTGTATCTAGTCCTCTTGTAGGTTACGTACATACTACACACCCTTTCTTTTTCCATTAATTTACCGACTTAATTGTAATGTGGCGTCAAGATTCTGCGACTATGTGGCTTCAGTTGAGTCAGGCCTACCTTAACCATGTCTGTTGCCTTGAAGTGTACTTATTATCTTAGTACCTTTTCCATGACAGGAAGAACTAGGATTATGCATAAACAGTACTGTACCATATAAAAGAGCATGGCATTTCTATTAATATTGTCCTGATTTTATTTATAATACAGCATTTAATGGGTTTAAAAAAATGTTTAATTTAGTGTTGTTTGAATTTATTTTATTACTTTCTATGTTAATATTATTGCCTCTTTCTACTTGCAATTTGAAGTGTGCTACTGTAAAAAGAGATATTTTCACATGAATAAATACATACCTGTGTAAAATAGGACTTACAGATAAATTTATACATTCATTTGGAATGGTGCAAAACCAACTAGCTCATAATACCCAAATCTTTGTGAATGATTTGTGTTAAACTTGTACGCTGATTGTGCTGATGTCAATCGTACTTTAACTGAGTTACCCAAGACCTCGGCCAGTTCTCAACTCCCAAGGAGTTGGTCTTAAGCCAAGTACCTCCTTTTGTCTAGCACTGTTAGCCTTTCCAAGTGTTAATAGCCTACTCTAATACCTCCTTCTCTATAACCTTTTCTTAATCTTAACCTAGTATATTGTAGGCCTACTTACGAAAATAATGGGTAGGTATTTTGTAAGAATGAATGAAGAGAAAAGTATGAAGTGCTGGAAATTTTTCCAAGTTGTTTGAAATGTTGACCTCGGGAATAAATGACAGTTGAAGATTCAAGATTCTGTATTGCAAATTAAAATAAAAGTACTTCAAATTGATATTGACATGTCTGTTATTATCTCACATGGACAGTGATTTCCATGACTTTCTCATCATGAAATATTTTAAGAACAATGCTCAGATGATAATTAACTAACATTATCAGATGTACTGGATTTGTACAATAGAGGGCAGTATTTTAAAGTTTGGTTACTTGGTAATTTAAAAACATTTTCAATACATGTTTCTTTTAAGCAGTACCGTTAATTATATTTGCTGCATAGCCAAGGAATAGGCTAATGTTAAAACGATTTTAAGTTGTGAACTTTATTGGAAACACTTTTGTTTCAGTGGCTCACACCATCTAGTGAAAGTATACAAAAATTTAAAATGATTAAAAAGTTTATGAGTGCAACGGAAGGAGTATCCCATGAGCGAAAGATGGGCTGCCCAACTCGGCAAAGCGGTGCTTAGTCAAATAGTATTTAAACTACAGTATTTATGAGTTGGAATATTGCATTATGAAAACTAGTTTAGCATATCATGCTTTATGAAAATTCATTTGCTTGAATTAAAATACATTTGTCACACCAAAAAATGTTTTATTTTATATAATTTGACTTTCAGCTTTCATAAAAAATTAAACTATTATACATATAAAAATGCTACTCAATATACTCCAAAATTTTACCGTTAAGAATATGCTTAAAAGAAGTAATGATACAAAATTGTGTTACTGCTAATAGGATATTTCGATGTTTTATAGTAAATGTTTGACTTTTTTCTCTCAAAGGTTTGTTAAAAAGACAATGATAACAAAAACATGTGACTACTGCCATGAAAAAATTGTCATCTCTGGTGTTAAATGCAAAGACTGCAAGTAAGTTTGAATATTTATAATAATAAATATACAAATAATGAAAGTTTGTAAGTGCACTCAGAAGAATATACTGTATTCATTAGTTGAAAGATAGACTGTTCCATCCAACAAGATAGAGCTGAGTTGAATGGAACAGTTAGTCAGCCAACTGTACAAAAAATAGGCCTATCCTGAAAACTTTTGTACCATTACCTTAGCCGAGCCTAGCCTAGCTCAAGCCAAGGCTAAGCCCCGACTAGCCTGGCCAGACTTAGCCTTCCTATTTTTATAACTTGGTGCTAGGGATAAGGCTAGACTTTTTATACCTCATTTCGCAAACTTTTTTTTTTATAGATCTTTAGAAGATTTTGGGGAAAAAAGACAAAAATTTAATTTTGTTTTCTTATTTAGCAAATACTTTTACCAAAACCATCCAGACGGAGGAGAAAAATAAAAATTAAATTTCACCATTGAATGTAAACAATGTAGTAATGAGATGGTTAAAAATTCTTTAAAAATTTATATAATTAGGAAGAAATATACATCTTATTTTTGTCAATTCCATGGCAGCGGCAGGCGTAAAAATAATAGGCTTGCTAAACAAGGTATAAAAAGGTCACCTAATCTATAAAGATAGTTTTAGTCACAGACACAAAATACAGTTAACTTACAGTAACCCCTGACTTGACAGCCAACAACAACCTGAATTAATGCTTCCCGAAGAATATACAGTAATAACAATTTAACTACTGAGGCATTTTTTTTTATCCCAGATATACATGTCATTCAAGGTGTGAACCATCTGCTGAGCTTCTACCATCTTGCGGCTTGCCTAGGAAGTATGAAGAGATTTTTAAGGAATCTATAACACATCAAGGTATAATGTTAATCATTATTTATAATTTTTATATTCAGTAATTAAACAGCAGTGAATTATGTAACCTTGCATAATTTTTTCTCATACATTTTCATTAGAATCTTGAATTATCTAGCTAATGGTCAAGCTAATAGTCAAGATATGGCTATGCTAATGGTCAGGACATGGCTATGCTATTGGTCAATTTATGGTGGCTGATTTTGTTTGACATTGCTTCTTTAGATTAGATATGGGTTTAGATAATGAATTGTTAATGCATACTAATTATTTAAAACTTGCATTTTGGGCTGACACTTTTTTTTATCAACATCATTCATGAAGTTTAGCATTAATAATAATGTTTTTTATATAATGTTTAAAAAAAATCCCTACACACTACATTGTACAATGGTCGAACGACCGTCAACTTACGAATCCATATCTGCACTCACTTTGAACTCTGTCGACACAACGCCGTCTGCTAAATGTCAATGGTAGACTGAGCGAATTGTCATCAAGAATGATCAGTTGCGCGTGCATCTTTGCATTGCATCCTCTGTGGAATTGTGTAGGCCACCGACCGTTGGTACATTGGGTGCCTGGCTTATTATCACGTGTCATAGTAAACAGATTATCTGTCTGTTTATGTATGTACATGTCTATGTAGGTTTGTACCTACATTATGCCTACAGTATATCTCTTCATCCCTTAGTCTAGAGATCCTAGCTGACTAAGTATATGTGTTATGTAGAATTTTGTTGAGTTGGATCAGTTCCAATTTCAGCATAATACAAATTTAAACATAGCATAATAATCATAACACCTACTTAAAAAAGAAATACTTCTAAATGTTTTATATAGGCCTCTTTCTAATCAATTTCAAATTTGATCATTTAAGTGGTACAATTACCTGCAGTTTATCTCTGTCTGTATTTTTAACAATGAGTAAAAGACACCAATGAAGAATAATTCTGAGCTAAATGCAATTGTAATGTATTAAAACACAAACTAATAGTAATATTTCCAGCGTCTAAAGTTTAGGTCAGCATATTCATAACAATCATGACTTTTGCAGAGCTCAGGTTCATTTGCATTTACTGGTGAGGACATATGTTCTCCACCTAATATTCAATTAAAAGCCAATACCCAATTATACAAATTAAGTAATCAAATTATTGAATTTTTGTTTTCTAGGTTTTTTAACTCAACACATAAAATGTCTTTTACAGAGTAATACTCAACATAAGGAACCTTACCACTAGGCCCCACCCACCCCTTTGATTTTTTTGCGAAGACCAAACAAAATGAAGGTGTAAACTTATACAAACATGTCCGTGTGTGGGTATTCCTGACCCTATTCTAATTGGTCAGTTGCAATGATTGACACTTTGGAATGACCCAGTGTTGTTTATGAAAAAACAATAATTTATGTATAATTGACCAAATCAAAGTTCAAAAGTTCAAAGTTCAAAAAGTGTTACGGTTCTGTACTAAAGTATACAATACTACCACATTCTTATGCCAGTTTTACACTAAGCTAATTTATTAACGCGAATCGAAAGCGTCGGTTCATGAGCACTCACATTTCTATTGGAGTTTTTTACTTCAACGAAATCAGTTATTCAAACTATTTCTACTTTTCGCGAAGCGAAAGAATACACAACCAATCAGAGCTCAGGAAGCAAACCGATGCTTTTGATTTGCATGAATAAATTCGCCTAGCGTAAAACTCAGTTTAACATAGAGCGATAATACGCTGGTTTTGGAATGACAAGCCTTAAATATTTAATGCTTTTGGCAACTTTGCTTTGTCTCTTTTTTGGTTACATGTGAAGTTACAAGGTGCTTCTTTTTTTTCTGCATGTTTGATCTTTATGTTTTTATGTTTGTTTCTTCTTCCCTTCCTCTCATTTAATAGGATACGCATCACCGTCACCTATCTTTCACAGAAGACCAGGTACAGCGCTTCACATATTTCTATATATCACATACCACAGTGTCTTGTTTTTGTGTCTTATTTATTTGCTTAGATATTTCTTGTAGATACCATCTCTGTGAGTTTTTGCTTTCTATTGTAATTATATTCAAGTAGAGGGTACAGGATATTGATGTAGCTGCAATGTTAGTTGTAGATATGCAAATGTAATATTTAGTGCTAATAATTTTAGTAATTACTATTTTTTCATTACAATATTTAAAGCTCTATGCAGACTATCAAATTTTCTTTGACAAAAAACTGCTGTATGCCCATATATAGTCATGGTGTGCCTATATATGGTCATGATGTGATGTCATCATGACCATATTTAGGCATGTAACATGTTTTGTCAAACAAAATTTGATAGTCTAGACAAAGCTTTAGATGCATGGTTAAGCCAGACATACATTATTAGGTATTTGTAAACCTTTGCAGATATTGTTTGATAAGATTTAGTGGGATAGTTTCGAGTATACTTGGAAAATATGCTTGTTTGGTAGAAACTATTGGCAGACATGCCAGATGCACGGAGACAAGAACTGAAAAAAGCTACTGAGTCGTCTGAGGACGACTCAGTAGTATGCTTTTTTCAGACATTTGATTCAACAAATTATATATCATTCCATGTCTATCACCTACTTTCACAAAAGTGAGATCAAATTTTAGTTCAAAATCTGATATTGTATTCCTGGCTTTATCTATTATTAGTATTATTAGTAATAATAATTTAGTACTTATGTTTTATCATCATTAATTATTATTGTATATTGAATTTGATTTTGATATTTTTAATGACAAAAAATTGTTAATGAATACATAGTTCTAGTAGAGTCAGCCTATAATTATAATATAGTTGTTTTTATTTAAATAATTGTCATGTAGATATCACTGTAGTAAATTTCAAATAATAGTAATTATCTATATTTTTATTTTGTTGTAGCAATGCATGGTATGTGTTAATTTATTAAAATTAGGAAAATTATAGATTAAAACATGATTTTTTAAATTGTAATATATTTCAAATTAATTAAGTTTACTTAGTTAATTTTTATCCCCTTTTCTACCACAAATAATCATGTACATTTTGTGTTTATTTCCAGCACCGATTGAGCCTCCCCAACAAAGCCCAGAGAACCAAACCAGCTTACAAGCGTTTGCTCACGGTGAATCTAGCTCAAATCCATCATCAACAACCTCATCAACGCCGTCAAGTCCAGTACCATTATACCCATCATCGGCAAGTGCTACACCGCCAAGTGTACATTCACCTCATGTCCGAGAATTTGATTTCGGTAATGGCACTAACTTAACTCAGTGTCTCATTATGAGGGACTGAATATTTATGTATGAATTTTGATGCTGAATTTAGCCATTTCATATGTATGAACTGTCTCTTACACACATCTAGATGTGTAAAAGAGACAGGGCTTGCTCTCCCCCCCCCCTCCCCACTTAAAAATTGATATGCAAAACAATTATGGTGAAGTATTTAGAAATCGCCTATCATAAATGAATAAGAATGATTATGATATTAATAATAAGGATGAGGTTAAATACCTTCTTTATTTCTTTTTTCGTGCAGGTTTTGTGAATGACGTTACGTTAGAACCGGTTGACACGCGTAATGTGGAGACATCTCAATCAAGTGACCAAACAATAACCGTTGATTCTCAGGAGTCTCATGATTCACCAGACGTAAGTTCATATATTTCCCACAAATTTTCAACTGTTAATATCCATGACTAGTAGAAATTACTCTACTTGCAATAGTCAGTGGTTAGCAAAGTTAATCCTGTTGAATAATAATATAATATTTATTTGACATTACACTTTCACAACAGTGGCAGCACACAAGAAAGTAGCACAGTCAATCTTAAACTAATGAACGAAGAGGAAAACAACAACTTGAAGCTAAAGTAAATGAAAGAACTTAACTAAAGAAGATATAATTTTGAGTTTAAATAAGTCATAAAAATCCCTCGCCCTCCCCACACAAGTAATGTACATAATACACATTACGTGCATACAGTATACGTACACTCCCACACCCAAATATATATGTATATACAGAGGGTTATAAAAGTATATAAAAGAAATTCAATTTAAAACATAAACAAAATAAAAGAAATATATGTATTACTAAAGCAACAATGCATTTAACCTGTTTTTAAATCCAATCTTCTATCCCAAGCTTTTTTAGCAAATGTTTTAAAATATCTGTCAAATGCAGATTAAAAATCATCATTAAAAACATTATTTTCCTCCCAAGAACAAAATAAATTTTATCATCAACATTTGATTCGGAAAAATTATTCCAAGTTGCAGTCTCATTGCAAAGTTTGAGGTGTTGTTGAATATTATTGAACTAATTAACTATTGTTGAATTAATAAGCCAATTCATGGTTGCAGCTGCATATGCTCATATTCAAGGTCAATCGAGGTCAATCATCATAACCTATGGTGTTTATGTCGATTGACCTCGATATGATATGATATGTGGTTCTAGCTACGAATTGGCTTATTAACAATGATTAATATAAAAAAGTATTGAAGCAAAAGTTGATTCGTCTAAACTAATATAATTTCAAGTGTTTTAAAATTGTTTTTCTTGACTACCACTAGTATGACATCATGTGATTTTAATAATATATTTAATAAAATTATTATTAATATTGTTGTTATTAATGTCACAACTTATTTAATACACTATCACGAATGGTCATACCATCATATTTATTTGCAAGACATGTTTCATAAAGAAACTGTAGAGCATCGAAATTCCATCTTATAAATTGCGTATGTACTTGGCAGTTCGATGAAGAATTAAGAAAATGAAAATTTACACCCAAGATTGATACTTCAACCTCTCAATTCACCCCTGAGCTCTCTTCTCACGCTAACATGTGACTGTCACGTTTTAAAGTTGCAAGCGTTCACGACTCGTGAGAATCATGACATTATCGCAGCATTTGATAAACATTGGCTTGGGACACAGAGACACTAAACAGGTCCTGATATGTAACAGTGATTCATGATACATCTGCATGAACTTTCAGTTCAGTTCTATAAATAGCCTCAAATCCATCATCAGTTAAACAACTGTTGGAACCATTCACAGCATATTCTTTGTTGTATGTGACTTATGATATTCACTGAAAGAGAATTTATATTCTAAGATTTAATATGATATGGACTCGGGATGAAGTCCTTTGACATTGGAATTCTAATAATGCTTGGAACATGACTAAGCCTGTAGAAAAAAAATGGTTTTGCTGCTTATGATACTAACTTATTCATTGTATTGTTATTATTGTTACCACTATAATATTAATAGCCAATTTTACTGTAATTGATTGTTACAGTAATTATTATTATATTATTGTGTTATTGTTATTAATTAATTTTATTATTGTAGTTATCAGTACAATGCATCAGCACCAAATGTTACCTATACACCATATAGCCCAATAGTGGGTGTCTGGAAAAATACAAGTGTTGTTTATTAAAAAAATATTATTGTTAATATTTTCAATGTTGACACAGCTGATTTACTATTTATTAATAATGTGTATGTCGTGTTTTATTACCATACTTTATGAAAAAGTCTTGTAATATTTCCCTACTTTGGACAAATTTATGTGAAATTTGAAATCTGATATTGTTGTTCTTCTAATTACTAAATTATAAATTGTTAATTCTATAATAGTTACCAATGTTGCTGTGATTACTGCCATTCTTATTGTTGATGTTTATTTTATATAAAATAATTATAAAATAGAATAAATACAAAATATTTATAGTTATAAGATATAAATTAATTATTGTATGGAGGACTTATATCTTATAATTATTTATATTTATTTTGTTATTACCTTATGCTGTTTATCATCACACTTGCAAACTGACTTGAGTGTTCTAATTTCACTGTTTCTTGTTTTTGGTATGTGTCACCCTTCTGTACAATGTATATTTCATGTTTGTAGACTAATACAGACTCAGAAAAAACATTGCCTGGAAAGTGGGGCTCGATAGACAGCAATGTGTCTGACTCAGAGCTTAACGAGGTGTCTCATCGCAAGGGTAGTGTGAGTAGAGTATGTGGATGTCGTATTGTTATTTTATGTACATTAGTAGCTCTCCTATCCAAGATTCCTTTTTTTAAATGTTTCTACTGATGTTTCTATTGGTGTGAAGTGTAAATGGGCCACCATGGTATCATGACCTAATGTAGAGTAATATACAGGTGTCCATGTACAATTTCACACAGACAGTAAGTGGCATATCTAGAGGAAGTGGGAGGCCCCAAAAAAATACTTGCCACTCCCCTCAGTCCTTTTTAAAAAAAACACAATCAATTTGTTGAAAATCACCTCAAATCACCTTTTGCAATCTAGAGCCCCCTTACCTAATCATCAATTCCTCACCTTATAATCGTTCCCCCATTTTGTCCTTGCACTCCC